ATAGATGAATGTGGGTAAGGCCCGTATCTCATAATTAGTCGAGTATGGGCGGGGGACCGTATCTTCTTGAGTGTGGGCGAAGCTCGTATCTCCTAGCTATATGTTATATGATATGTGGTAGTTTGGGGAGACTCACTAAGCTTCGTGCTTACAGTTTATAGTTTTGGTTTCAGGTACTTCCGGTAGCAAAGGTAAGGGCTCAGGATGACTGCATTGCATACACAACCGCGTTTTAGCCTGGGAGGATTTACTCTGATGTTTTGATATATGATTTGGATACAATGTTTTGACATGATGTTTTGAGATATTACCACTTACGTTTTTATGTGATGATCATATTACTATGATTTTATAATGATTTAAAACGAAAATTTTGGACGGTATTTTTGTGATGTTTCACTCTAAGCACATCATTAGGATGATCTCACGGTGATACATCGGAGCGTCGTATCTAACCACACTCATTTAGGATAATCTTGTGATGTATGTGGTGAAAATGTTGATAGGTATGATGATATGGAATGAACATTAAAGAAATTTTAGCATTTTGTTGATATTTGGTAGTTTAAGTATTTTAAATTTTATAACTTGTAATTTTATTGTGGTTTGAATTATTATGTTAGACAAATTTTAATTTATAATGATATTTTTAGAGCATGTTTCTATTTAAATAAATGTTTGTATTTATTTTGTATATATTTTAACATATTACCTACATACATCGTTTTTAATACCACATATAAATATATTTTTATCAACACATGTCTGACTCAATACCTACACATATACTAATATTACCTACACATAAAAATACTATTACCCACACATAGTCTTAAGACACATAATTGAGCACGTCATCCTTGTAGACCACGTCATCCTTGCAGACCACGTCAGTGGCCATGTCTACAGCCACATCAATGGCTACGTCATTGACATCTCAAACAAATCAAAATACTTCTACCCACATATACTTATTACTTTCAGCCACAAATACATGTGTAAGTTGTTGGAATAGTGTCTAAGGCTGCAACTATATTAGACAAGTATTTGACCCGATTGTGCATGGTCCTTTTGGGTTGCCTTCACCATAGCAACTTGACAAGATGATTTATTATGAGATAATAGATATTATTAATATATTATGAGAATAATATAAGAAATAATAATATTGTTATTTGATTAATATAAGTCATAGATTAATTGGTATTAATTTGGTGACTTAAAGAGATTAATTGGTATTAATTTGATAGTTACACTTTGGGCTGTAAATCCTTAAGGGATAGGGTTTGGACGATTTCTAGGGCTACGATAAGCCTCAAATTCGTCCAAGGCTTATCTAAGGTAAGGATTAGGATTGCTTAGGGTTTAAGTTATCCAATTAGGGTTTAAGGGTGAAACCCTAGGAGCCTTACAAGTATAAATAGACCCCTTGGGGAAGGGAAATTGGCATCTCTTCAAAAAGAAAAGAAACCCTGGCCGATTTCTTCCCTTTCCTCTCTCCTAAATCATCCTCTTGCTAGTTGGTGTTTGTAAGCCATTAGAGCAGTGGCAATTGTGACTCTAAAGCTCCAAGAAGAAGAAGATCAAACAAGTGTTTCAAGGTAAGCTTCTAACTCTGGTTTTGTATTGTTCTTATACCTAATTAGTCATTAGAAGTATTGGATTCAATGCATGTTTAATTAGAGAAACCTAGATCCAAGCATTAGGGTTTGTATGTGCACATAGGAATGTTCATATGGCCAAAACCCATCATAAGTATATATTACTCTTTAGCTACATATAAACTATGTGTCAGTAATGATCTATTTCAACAGGCATGGGCCAACACATAGTGGCACTTAACTTATGTGTAGGTAAAACTTATTAGTAACACATACGAGTCTTTTACCAAAACATAACATGTGTGGGTAAAGGCCCTGATATATTGTAGTGAAGGGATACCTAAGGGACTATATATAGTCATGTAGGATAGAATGAGGACTCTTGATATAAGCTCTTTTACTTGTTCCTTGTTTGGTTGTGGTTGTAGAGTAGGATCACCTTTCTGGGTGACTATCTTACATCTGAGTATATACGGCCATGCATTCCTTGGATTGATGATATTGAATATGCTGCTATGCTGTAGTGATTTGTTAGATCTTTGTTCTGGTATTGAGTATGCTGTTATGATGTAGTGAATTGTACAACTGTATGTTATATGTGCTTGCTTGTTATCATATATGGAGTGCCCTTAGGGACTATCTGTGGTTATGTAGGATAGTCTTAGAACTCTTGGTCTTGGATCTCTTGCCCGTTCATTGTTTGATTGTGGCTTTATAGTTGGATCATCTGTTCGGGTAGCTATCTCACCTCTAGTTACTTATGGTTACACAATCTATGGAGGTTGGCTGGTAGCAGGATTGTATACTGTGAGAGGACTAGTAGGTGATAATGAGCTGTATGATTGTTGTTTTCGTGTATTATGTGCTTAATTTATCCTAATTGTTTATATGCCGACATGTTGTGTTTGGTTTGGGGTGAGGTGGTCCTGCTTTGTGCTGTAGGCCAAGATACCCGGTACGGGCCGGCGGTAAGCCGTGGGCACAGAGGCTCGGGAAAAGCGGTATGGTTGAGGCAGTAGGCCAACAAATCATGGGTATTCCAGCCTGATGGCTGTTAGGACCTGTTGTATATTGGCATTCCAAACTGGGGTATTCCATCCCGAGGATGATTAGACCCGGAGGTTGACTAGGCTTAGGGTATTCAACCTGATTGTTGATTGGACTGACATGTTTGATGTTATATGTTATCCGTTTGTGTAGTGGTATTTTCGGGGAAACTCACAAAGCTTTATGCTTTGTTTCAGGTATCATTGGTGTCTATGAGAAGGCGGAGACGAGACTGTACACACGCATCAACAACATTGAGGATTCCGCATTTTCTATAAAACTCTGATTTTGTATAAATGTAACTTGGAATAAACGATTTTCTAAATAATGGATTTATAAATTCGAAAGTTTTCACCTTAATCAAAATCAGTGGCGTAGCCACCTTGGCCCATTCTAGAAGTTCAAGTGTATATATATATATATATATATATATATATATATATATATATATATGTGTGTGTGTGTGTGTGTGTGATATTTCTATTAAATAAAAAGAATTAATTCATCTCATTCAAAACTTCATATCCCATATATGACTCATACTTTCTAAATTATTTGGTCTATTCTAATTCAAAATTTTAGATCTCATATCTCGTTCATATATTTTTTAATCTATCCTAAAATAAAATCCTACCTACACCACCGATAAAAATGAAAATTTTTATTTGTAAAAATAAGACGTGACATTGCTATTTTATTTAATCTTAAAACTTTAAATTTGACAAAGCTTTATGAACAACCTTGACCGGATGTTCTTCACAACCTTTAAAACACTGCAAGCTAGAACGTTGAGTTTTTCCCAGCTTCCGTTTGATGGACTGTTTTCGTTAGTTTCATTTGTATCTTGCTACATGAACATATAATTCATATCGAAGTATAGCCGTTATTAGGTAAACAATTATATTTTAATTTAAATGACATATAACACGTTTCACTTAAATCAAAATGGCTCTAACACCCATCACAACTCATTGATTTGTTAATTTGACATGAAGATTAAGTGCACAAGAAACAAGTGTTGGTTAGAGTTTGAAAAGGTGTACTTCAATAAAAATCACTCTAACACCCATCTTTTCTTTGGATTGGTTGTAGAGTGAAAGGGCTTAAAACTTTGAATGGGAAAGATTGGGTGTAATTTTGTTTTCTTTCCTAGAGGCTTTTGCTAATAAAGTATAGACATTCAAAAAAAAAAAAAAAAAAAAAAAAAAAAAAACTATTTTATATATTGGATCTGAACATTCCTTTTGAATACTTTAAGCGATATTTTACATATTTTATAAGTTAATAAATTTTTAGCTTCTAAGTTAAATTTAATTTCAAAATTGTACATATGTTACAATAACCTATTGCGTCAATCTTAAAATCATTAAGCGGTCTTATACCGTTAATAAGGTGTGTTAAAGAAAAAATAAACGACATAACAACGTCTATTTAACTGGTCATACATTGTTATTTTTCTTTTTTGTATTTATTTTCTTCCTATTTATTTTAGATGTTGAGAAGTGTTATTTAATTTTATTTAAATTTAATTAGATATTAAATTTATACATTTGTCCTTATCTTAAAAAAAAAAAAAAAGATAGGATGGAAAACAGAAACAAACTGTGAAGGGTCTTTTAATTTCTCTAAACCCTAGTCCAAAAACGGACGTTACTCATGTTATTGAAATACGGGCTTGTGGTGGTTTGTTGGACTTTTGTTGCAACAAATGACTTTTCAATGTGATGTTTCATTTTCGAAGTTCATTCTGCCATAAGTAGCACGTCACATTGTTTGCATTACATTTTTCTACTCCTCCTTGTCATTTTAAACAAGTTAAAATGTTCTCACACATGGGGCTTTTGTAACCCTCAACATATGTCTCTCACAGAACTTCAATTTAAAAGAAGAAGAGCAACACTTCATACCTTTGGGCTATGGTTGTCAATAAACACTTTGCATTTTATGTTTTTCAATTCACATCAAAGCTCACTAATTAGGATGACTTAGATAAATGAGCTATTTAATACATGTTTCCAGTTCACAAGATAACTCGCGAGCATGCACATTGAACTCATAATATTAGTATTGTCACACTTATTATCGTTCATTACATTTAATCGTATTTACAAATTTCCGGAGTCCTTATTTCTCAATGATTATGGAATCATAAATTCATTCATAATCATAATACTTTCGTGATCCCCTATAACTTCAATCATCATCAACATAGTTTTTACTCATGCTAACATAGCAATTTGTTTCCACAGTTTAATGTCGTAGCAGGTATCACTACATTCATCATTATTTCTTGCCACTTGTAATTAATTATATGGCATCGATTAATCATATAAGGTCATATAACTCCAAATGGTAACAAGCAATCTTAACTAATAAGATATCATATTCATATAACCTAATAATTAAGCATACCAACAGTAAGAACCATATATAATAAACACACCCAGATGACCTTAACAGTTTTACTAATAGTCGACCATCTATTTACCTAGCTAGGCTTCAACAAGTTAGGTCACCACCCAAAATACTATTTGGAAATGGGAATCACAATTACGCTCATCGCAGTGATTATTTCATCTTCGTTGACAAGGTCACTCCAGCTTAAAGAAGAAAGAGCAGAATCTTTCACCTTCACTTCCACCTCCATTTCCACTTTCTCCTTCAACCTTTTCATCATCTCCGCCTTCTTCTGCTCCTCGTCCCACCCCACCATCTCATTCTCCATCTCTTTCATCCTCTTCTCTTTAGCCATCTTTGGTAGGAACTTCGTTCGCACAACCTTCTTCATTTTCTTTTCACTGCCAGAAGGCTTCCATGACTGATCTTTTGATCTAAAACGTAAAAAACTACCATCTTGAAACGTCTGCAAATAAAGAAATGAAAAGAAACATTTCATGATCAAAATAAAGAAAGTTACATATTGCAGAAGTTGTAACAAGTTACAAGTATAAGGACTTACAACACTCCACTCCACATCGTCGTCAATTATCTCTTTTACTTGAATATTAAAGTTTCCTACAACAGAGACGATTCCCGCAGTAGCTTGTTCTTCATCTAACTGCGGCTTGACACTTATATTCAAGCGTTGTTCACAACACTGCATAAATGATAAAACACAAAAAAAAAAAAAAAAAAAACTTATATAAAAAACCCACATACTTAATAAACGAATAAAAACAAAACAAAACCTCTAATACTTACTGATTCAGGTCCAGTCGTTTTGAAATCTTTAAGATCTAGAACCACGATGATGCCCTTCCCACATTTTCCACATGCCACATGCAAGTTCACCATCTCCGGCGTAACATCTGTGATAGTAGCGCCATCGTACTTGTACTCCTTCACCAGCCTATACATCGCCTCCATTCTTAGTGAGTGAAAGTTCAAAGAGACATAATACAACAGAAGGAAGAGCGTGAGTTATATAGATGACAAACTTTCTAAAAGTGGTAAAGCGTACATGCATCCAATTAATTGTCGAGTAATCATTAACATCCTTATTATATTAAGTTGGTTGAAATGAGTGAAAAAACCATCATAATGATATTATCAGTGATTTTAGTTTTACTTTGCTGATGCATAAGACATCGAATATATATATATATATATATATATATATATATATATATATATATATATATATATATATATATATATATATATATATATATATATAGACACACACAATATTGAAAGTCCTTTTTCCCTCTAAATGCGCTCATATTTTGAAAAATTTTAGAATGGTCAAATATTATAGTATTTTCAATCAATCCTATACCCGAAGCGTATAGGACACGATGCATAATGTCTTACATAAAGATATGATACTTTATCAATCTTCTGCTATAATATTTTATGTGTCTCGTTCTTACAATTCGAACTATGCAGAGGAATACAGTAATCATAATCGTCGAAATTTAAGAACACACTATGTATCTTTGACCAAAAATATTAACATTCCACAACCTAATCCTTTAGATTTGAAACGAAGCATAACATTCTCTCCCTTAATTATAGAATAACAACTTTACATCCTTACTACTTTGCAAAGTATGACTCTTGTTTTCTATAATTAATATTGCTAACTTGCAATACCTGCCTTAATAATCATACAATCATAACATTTATGCTCCCACTATCATGATGATTATTATAAACATAACATTTATGCTCCCACTAGCTTTGATATGTATTTAGAAAACAGCTTAACTTACAGAAAAACAATACTTATTGAATTTCTTAAGTTCATATTTCTAATACTTAATACTTTGATAATCTTTTATCCAAGCTTCTTAATCTCATACACCTTTATCCAAGATAGCTCATATGTGTGTCTTAAACAATTCAGACTAATTACCAAATCTCACAATTCGAATTATGGAAGGGATACCGTAATCATAATCAAATTTGAGAATACAATTTTACAATCACTATCTTCTTAAAATCTTTCTTAGTGAAAGCATTTCCTCACAGTCATTTTCATGAAGGAGGGAATATTATGATACTTAGATTTTAATGGTGTATGTGTTCCTATCCATGTGAACTTGTCAAAAACAAAGGTTACGAAAAATTCAAACTCATATGGACCGAACTTTCTCAATCTTGATTTCTTGCCTTATGGTAACACGGCTGCCCACCATGTCTTCCAAGTAGTTAAACAGCTCACCCTTTCCCATCAATGTACTTTTCATTGATTAATGTCCTTGCCTTTTATGCATTCAAATGAGAACTCATAGGGCTCACATGCATAATTAACTCAATTGGAACGGCATAGAAACATGATAATGTCAACACGATAGGTTGTAAACCTCAATTCGTGTGCTAGTGATGATCGATAAGGTTTATTCCTAATTTTTTCTTGAAACCTTTCAAGACCATTAAGACTCCTACTGACTCCTTGACATATAATATTCTCTTGTCAGTAAACATTACTCGTCAAACAAATATTCAAGAGTTAGTGTAGCTTTTATCAAGACAAAACATTTCATAAAATTGGTCGTAGTTGGTCTTTGTCTTATCAAAGACATCACAACTTTCCAACTTCAAATTTGCGAGAATAAAACTTTTTCAATTCCACATTTGATGAATGTTATAAGCCTTCTTAAGACTTGTCACTCAATGTCACAATCTTAACTCTTAAGACTTGTTTCTGGAACGAAGTATGATTGACTTCTTAATTTAACCATTTCTTCAATTCTTGATTCCTCTTCTTAGACATACAATTGCACTAAGACTTACTTAGAGGATCAATTGAGATATGGTTCTTAATCATTAAGACTCATCATAAAAGGTACTCTCCCTTCTTCTTAGAATAGAGAACCTTTTATCTTTCTGCCTACTTGAGTCTTCTTATTCGTTCTGCTATTGGTTTAAACCTTTTCAATCAATTCAGAATTACACTTAATCTTATAAGTATAATCATATTTACTAAACCTTTAGTAAATCATGATGATTATCTTTGTTACTCTTGCGGTGGACTTGATCAACACACAACTTTGTGTACTCGATCTCCTAGTCCTTCACTTGACACTTTGTCAATGAATTAGTCTAATTTCCAAATATGAAATTTCTCATTCATCATGCAACCAAGTTGCATGATTCCAAGTTTCTGTCCAATTGAAACTTGGGTGATGAGAAACTCTCCCTATTTAGCAAATTCTTGACATTTCCACAAATAACATAATTAAGAATCACATCCACTCATTGTAGAAATATACGAACATCAATTTTTCATAACGATTTCATTGCAAAGAAATAAATAAATAAATAAGCGAGACAAAAAAAATTATTTTATAAAAGCAGCGGAAAAACATTTGTCCTTAGAATGCAAAATCAACTGAAAAAACTATGTAATCAAATGTTTCTAACAATTCTATGATAACTTTCTAAGCTGAAAATCTAATCTTCGAATCCATGCGATTGAGATCCATTTCTTCGTGATTAGACTCATTTTGCTCTTTCATCAAGCTTCCTCTCTTTTCACTGATCCTGCAAAACATTCAAATGCAATCTTATCACATCATGTATTAAGAATCAACGAATAGGAACTTAATGGAGTTAGATAGTGGATTTTACCTGAAACACAACCATACTCTTTGACTCTCCCATATTCTAAACTCTTCAGGCTCTTAGGGCAGACTTGTATCTAATGCCCTTTCTCTTGGCAGCAAACGCAGGTCGGTTCTCCTAGAATGTCCTCGGAAGCATGGTTGGTTGACTTTCCCAACAAATATGCTCCATTGCTTTGCCAAACCATTTCTGATTCAGCGGCAATGAGCATGTAAGTTAGGTCAATGAGGTTTGCGTCATGATCCATCATATAATACTTTCTTTTGAACTCATTATATGATTCAGGGAGTGACTGTAGAACCCAGCCTATAGCCAACTCATCAGGGAATGACGCACCCAACATTATCAACCTATCGATGTGTGATTTCATTCCTAGAACGTGGGCACACACGGGTTTACCATCTTCATGTTTCATTTCTAATAGGGTTTTAGTGACATTGAACCTTTCAATTCTTCGATCTTGTGGGTTAGGGAGAACAACGGGAGGGAGGAGGAAGTGATGTATGATTTCTTGTTCCTCGATCGAATCGTGGAATATCATCTTCATGTGGAATGCTTGTTCCACAGGATTTGGGAAGACCATAGTTGTCGTACTTGGACATCTACAAAATGGAAGAAAACGAATTCAAGTTAGTTGATCGATTGAGTCCTTAATAAATCACCCAAATGAGATATTAAGGCTAGGACCCAACACAACACGCTACAACCTAGAAAAGGGATGCCGTAATCTAGTTGCAGAATATTTGAAGGTGGAATGCTTGTTCCACGGGATTTGGGAAGACCATAGTTGTCGTACTTGGACATCTACAAAATGGAAGAAAACGAATTCAAGTTAGTTGATCGATTGAGTCCTTAATAAATCACCCAAATGAGATATTAAGGCTAGGACCCAACACAACACGCTACAACCTAGAAAAAGGATGCCATAATCTAGTTGCAGAATATTTGAAGGTAAGTGAATGACGATTCACTAATTTCCATCATTAAAAACGAAAAAGGAAATTTAAGTTTTAAATCTATGAAAACTCCTAGATCCTTTGAGATTCATTGAATATTTCAATGGCATGTTTAAATCTAGATATGCCCCTCTAGTTTGTGACTGGGATGCCGAGGATCATAAAGTGGGTGTGAATAACCATGCAAATCTACATAGTGCCCCCACATGTTACAGTCACTTATTCGATGTGCCGGTAAACCACACACGCTCCACCAAACTATGATAAACATTGAGTCACCCTTTCATACCTTTTCTTAGAACCATTTAGTATGACGGTAAACCACACACGCTCCATTAATGTCTTCGCAAGGGTACAAAGTGTAATTTCATGGAATTGCATCAATTCACTTTTGCCTAAAGTAACTAAGATGGGGAATTTGAAAAACATTTAGTTACTTTTGTACTTAATTATACTTATAATGGAAGGTTTTGTCCTATCCTACCCGTTCGGCTAACGACCCTCCACTAGTCAAGAGTGCGGTGGGTAAGAGTGGATACCCATTCAATTGCCATGTTATAGGCAATTTCCTTAAACACTCCTTATAGACCAGCTTCGTGATTGAGGCCTACTAACGGTAAGACTGAATTTTACTCACACACACACACACACACACATATATATATATATATACATACATACATATATATATATATATATATATATATAATGTTAGACTTTTAATGTTATATATAGTATAGGATGTATTTTACACTTTTAAAATACTATGTGGTCAAATTTAATAATTATACTTTTAATTCAATTAAATTGTACACCAAAACTTTATGGATTTACTAAATCTCTTTTAATTATACACTTTAATTAATTAATAAAACCATAAGGGTGTGATTTGAACTTTTCAAAACAATACTTGGGTTTTAGAATTTAACATTTCTAAATTAAACTTTTAGTCAACTTTTAGATTCCAAAACTTGAGGGCAAGTTTTGAAACATTTCAAAACATTAGAGTTTAGAATTTAAATATTTCAAAATCAAACTTTTTAATCAAAATTTAAATTCCAAAACTTGAGGGCAAGTTTTGAAACCCTTTTCAAAACATTAGGGTTTTAACTATTTAAATTTCAAAAAACAAAACTATTAAGTTCAAATTTAAACTATATAACCTAAAGGGGAAAAATTAAAACTTTTTCACAAGATAATTCAAATCTAAATTACAAATAATCAAACTTTATCTAATAAACAAATGATTATCTAAATTTTGACAATTCTCTTCTATTTAGGTAAGGATAATTACCAAATATTGATAAAATTCGGATTTTATAACAAAAACATGTTTATAGTAATTATCCAAAGCCAA